TATATATATATATATATATATATATATAAATATACATATATATATATATATATATATATATATATATATATATATATATATATATATATATATATATATATGTATATATATATATATATATATATATATATATATATATATATATATATATATATATATATATATATATATATATATATATATATATATATATATATATATATATATATATATATATATATATATATATATATATATATATATATATATATATATATATATATATATATATATATATATATATATATATATATATACATATATATATATATATATATATATATTTTTTTTTACGTTTTAAATTTAATAATAATCATACTAATTCAATAACATTTTTTAAACATTTACTTTCAGATTGATAATGATATAAGTTTTATTTTTTGATTTAGATTCTGTATCTCAATGATATCCTGGCTTATTGATACGATATCCTGTAAATCCACTCACACACATAAATTTTACTCACACACGTAAATCCTGTAAATTCACTCACACACATAAATCTTAAAAAAGAGGTTTATATTTTTATCTATAAATTGTAAATTTTATATAAAGAAATTGTATATTTTTTATGCTTTTCATTGTATATAACTATTTGTATTAAAAATCGATTTTGGAAATATTGCAAGTGCAGAGTTCAATATACAATTTTGTTTTATTTGCAAATTCAATATACATTTTAACCAAGTTTAATCACGTTTAATAATATTTTGCGATATTTTCTCCAGCGCATTTGAGCGTTGATTTAACGTTATATTTCAACCTTTACTCGACGTCTTTGAGTCACGTTAAATCAACGTTTTACTACCAACGTTACAAATCCTTGCAAAATCGACTGCTTTACCAACGTTAAAGTAACGCTCTCCAAGTAACGTTTTTTCAACGTTAAGTTTCGGCGCCTATGCAACGCTTTTTAAGTAACGCTTTTTCAACGTTTAGTTAAGACATTTTTGTAACGTCTTTTAGCAACGTTTTTTCAACGTTACGCTACTACGATTAATCAACGTCTCTTTAACAACGTGACATATCTTTGCAAAATCGATTACTTTGTCAACGTTTCCGAAACACCTTTTGCGACCGGTTTTCAACGTTGACAACGCTGACATGTTTGCTGGGAGGGTAATTATTATTATAATTTTTCTTCCTTTAATCTCATTATAAGCTTGTGGGTTGTGCAGGGTTGTACAACTATTTTATATTGCATTAACAGAATCAAAATTTATAGCTAAGTTTAGATTTTTTAATAATAATAAGAAGCAATATGTCGAATATTTTACAAACAAATATCAAGTTGGTCAGAACCTAATGCTTATGCAAATAACGCTGCCATGGCAACCCTTTGAATCTGATAGTTATTCACTCTGAGCAGTATAGTAATATTTTAAATCAAATTAACTGGGGAAAATGAATTTCAATAAACTGGTCGTTTTGCTTATATTTTGACAAACAACGTAAGTATATTATTAATTTGAAACCGGAATGTTAATTTTTCAAATATCTTCACCAAGCATCCCAGTAAGAAAAAGACGTCAAGCCGTAGTTGTTATTTGGTTGTATTTTGGTCGCGACGCAAATTAACTAAATTCCAACGATGTTCTAACGTCGGGTAACGGTGTTGTTCTAACGTTTGCTATCAAACGTTGGAAAAACGTCGGAAAAACGTTATCATCTAAAGTCTTGAATGTTAACATTAAAACGACGTTGGAACAGCGTTGGTTAATAAACGTAAAACCAACGTTAGTCTGATTAACTTTGGAACGACTTTGGAGCAACGTTGCTTTTTTTACGTTTTTACTTTTGACATCAGAGCAACGTCAGCTTTCTAACGTAAACACAACTTGATTTTACAAACTTGCGCATTTTTAAAATAGTTGAAAAACCGTTATCGTAAAAGATGTTATTTTTAATCTAATTTTAATTTAATGGTTTTTAGGCATTATATTCTGTGATACTAATAATTAATACGTTATTTCTTTATATTCTACATTCGAATTAGATATTAAACTTTTATCATATTAATGATAAACAAAAGTTACTAAAAATTTATTTGTTTTTCAAAAACTGTTGACATTTTTGTTATGTTTTTGTATACTTTGTATATTTAACATTACTTATATACTAAAAATCTAACATTTATAATATTTGCACATAATATTTTATTTACGAATAGATAATGGAATGATAGGTTTTTTAAATACCTGTTATTAAACTATTTAACAGTTTAATTAAATGCCAATGAAAATACTTTTTTTTAAGACATTCAATTCAGTTGTCTAAGACAGTTGTAAGTTGTATTAAAACAAGGTTTTTACGTAATATACATAATATATTAAGTATAAATTTAAGACAATTAATTATATTAAGACAATGTCTTAATCATAATATATATTTTATTTATTTGAATGAAAAGTTTTTTAGTTTGTTATGGAACTAGACTAGAAATTACCTAATAAGCTTCTTA